TCTGTGGGAAAATTGTACTCTGCCCTAAGGGGTTGAATCAACTTGGTAGCTGGAGGGTTATCATTTATGTGAAATGCAGGCCGAAGTGAGAGAATTTGCCTTGGATTAAGTTGATGAACAATAGAATGTGTATAAATGCCACCCCTAACACAAGTTCAGGACTCTTTGCCATAAGCCTTAAAGAACTCTGAATGTAGACATCCTGCACAGTTAATAGTTTGGGTTTTTTCCTAGTTTTTGGTTTTTTTGCATAAAAGTGAGTCTAAGTTTACCAGATTGAACAGAGATGTCCTATCTTACCCCCTCTCCCTGCCTTATCTTTTTCTTTATATTGGTAAAAGCCTGGCCCAGAAGGTGAAGTTATCTGCAATAGTTATGTCAGGTCCCAGAGCTCCTCAAATACTGGTTATCGTTTTGAAGCAAACTGTCTTAATTTTATTGTGTTTTCCACCCAGGCAAACAGGAAATAGATTTATCCATTTGTATCTTTCACCCCTTACTTATTCTAAGTACCACTCCCTGATTGTTTCCCTGCCTCCCCTCAACCACTTTACTTATGAGTGAGGTCATTTATCATCATTAAGCTCTTTTCTTTCTTAGATGGTTCATCTAATTAATGATTTAAGAGAAATTTGTATTTTTCTCTTAGGAGTTGTTTCATTATGCGAAATCTAAAGTTATTTCGGACCCTGGAGTTTAGGGATATTCCAGCTCCAGGGAAACCCCAGTGCTTCTGCCTTCGGAGTGAACAGGAAACAGTTCTTATCGGCTCAGAAGTTGGCCTCATCGAAGTTGATCCTATCTCAAAAGAAGTAAGCTATTGGTGCAGTTGCATGGGCATTGTTAAAGATAGTATGTTGGTGGAAGTTTGTAATTTAGGAAAAAAGCATGTTTAAATATTGTCATAAAAGTAGCATTAAACATGTTTCTGGAAATGTTACCTATTGTTCTTGACAGTGGATTGAATTGATTTGGTTCTCTGTTTTGGTGGAAGGTGAAGAATGAGATTGCTTTGGTGGCCGAAGGCTTTCTCCCAGATGATGGAAGTGGCTGCATCGTGGGCATCCAGGACTTGCTGGATCAGGAGTCAGTGTGTGTGGCCACAGCCTCTGGGGACGTTGTGCTGTGCAATCTCAGCACACAGCAGGTGAGCAGGGAGTTCACTGAGGACGTTCCAGAGTCCTCAAACCCATCACTTGTTTTGCACTGATGTTTTCCAGTGGGTTGCATAGTTAAACATTTTCAAAATTCAAGTCTTTGCTTTGCACCATATGTATGTTAACAAAAAGTTTTTATGTTGATGTTAGCTGTATTTCACAATTCTTCTAAAATTTATTGTTAACTGCATTTTTTAATCAGGACATTCATAATATTCCAAATTATAATTTTATTAATATCCTTATTTTAAGTAAATAGAAACTGGCTTTTTGTCTGAGAATAAGGTTATTACAACTGATTAATCACCTATAGTAACTGATAAATTCTTTATTGTATATTGCCTTTTCCCCACTTTATTTCCTACTAATTTTTGCTCTCTTCCTATCACTGGTAACCATCCAAGAATTATTTTACCTGAATGTAAACGTCTTACTTTTTATTATAGTGACCTTATGCCATTATAGTTCTTCTGTGACTTACTTAGGTCACTCAGCATTGTTTCCTAGGGTTCATCCATGTTACACAGTGCTTCACAGATGTTTTATCATTCTTCGGAGTTGCATAATGCTCCATTGTGTTAATGTACCATGATTTCTTTAGCTTTTCACCCACTGATGGACACGTGGCTTGATTTCCATCTCCTTGCTTTTATAAATAACACTCCAGTGAACATGGGTGTGTTTTGTAAAACTTTTTCCTCATTCCTAAACTCTTCAGTTGTCTGTACTCAGTGGTATAGGGTCTGCCCCTTTGTCACTTTAAAACTGTATCTATGTCAGTAAAACTGTATCTTTGTCAATAAACCTGTATCTATGCTTATTACATGCTTAAAAAAACTTCATGTTAGCTGTTCCCCAATATTTTTTAGCCTATTTCCCCAATCCTTCTCACTTAAATATATACCTTATACACTTAACTCTTCCGATTTTTATTACTTTTTTTATACTCCTCTCTCCATTTTTATTGGTTTTATGTATGTATAACTTGTGTTGTATCTGCATCTGATCTTTAACTGTTGTTGTGGACAGTCAAGTTGGAACCAACTCACAGCTGAGCCTCCAGCAGTCAGAGGCAGCAAATCATACGGGAGATTGCCCAAATATCTCCTATAGAGTGGCTGGTAGATTCAAACCTTCCTTTGGGCCGACAGAGCAAATCCTTACCACTGAGCCATCAGAGCTCTTGATATGTATGCATGCCCGGAGCTCTTGTCTGCATCTGATCCTTACCTGAAAGCTTTTTTTCCTGCTTGATCATGTTTTCTTTTTTCCTTATTTTCATTCTTTCAGATACTTCTCAGGAAAATAGCCTTGAACTTTCTGACCATTTCCTGATTTTGTAATTACACTTTACTTCTTAGAGATCCTGGCAAGAGACTCTTGTTGCAGTTTTCTTTTATCTCCCTCATAAGACAGGTCTGGAAGGAATTTGATGACCATAGTAATGTCTAATCCTTATGGGAGCTCTGGTTGCCTTGTGGTTAGAAGCTGTGCTACAATCTCAAAGACACATGGTTTGAATGCACCAGCTCTCCATGGCAGAAGGAGGGACATTCCACTCACATGTGATTTATTGCCTCTGAAAATCCACTGGACGGTCAGCCATGAGTCAGCTCTGACAGGACAGCACACAACAACAATACTTAGCATCAGGCCTACTCTCTTAATATCTGTAATAAGTAAATGTTTGTGTATAAATTCGTGTTTTTAAGACTTATTCAGAGGCTGGCATTTAGAAATACTGCCCTTCATTTTTCTGTGTCTGTCTAGGTGGAATGCGTCGGGAGTGTAGCCAGTGGTATCTCTGTCATGAGCTGGAGTCCTGACCAAGAGCTGGTACTTCTTGCCACAGGTAAGCTTATCACTAGTCCCTGATAAAACACTCCTCGTGTCTCACAGGCTTCAAGTTTGGGGTGCTCGGGTTTGAACAGTGGTGTCAGTGCTGTAGGCTGGAAGGAATGTCTTCCTTTTGACTTAACTTTTACCTTTTATTGTATTATTGTGAAAAATTATTTGAAGGAACTTTTTCAGTCTTTAGAAATGGGGAACAGAGTTATTAAAATCTAGAGATATTGCTGAATTCACAGTTGCAGTTCAAGATCTTAGCAATATTTATTTTTAAATTGCTGTAATAAGACCAATTACTATTTAAACAAGTTCTAGAAAACTCTTCTTGAGGTCCATCCTGCTTTCTCCCCATAAGCCCTAATGAGTTTTAGTAAACTATTATTGCTCATGGGGTATATATTTGAAGAGGAATATGGGGGGTTTTGAAGTTGGTGGAAGGATGTTTTTAGAGAGGTAAGGATGTTTTTAGAGAGGTAGGACTGAGCTATCTAGTCAGAGGTGTTTTGTTATATTTTCCGTTTTTTTGTTGTTTTACAACATCAAAACACTGTGAATGACCTATTTATTTACCCCATTCTCCCTATAAGATGCTTTGCTTCAGCTCTGGAGCTCATAGTGCCTTGGGCTTTATTGTTTGGAAACTCACTCACTCTTGTTTTGTGCTCTTCCAGGTCAACAGACACTGATTATGATGACTAAAGACTTTGAACCAATCCTGGAGCAGCAAATCCACCAGGGTGATTTTGGTGAAAGTGAGTACAGCTTGTGTGAAATATTTTGTGGCTTCAAGTTCCTCCTTAATTTTGATTATTTTCTTGTACTTTAATAGCCATATCAATAGCACAAAGACCTATGAAGCCGAAAATCATGTTTATTAAATGCCCCATAATTCTGTTGTCCTGTCTCGGACCTTAAAAGACATACTCTGCTGCCTCTCCAGTCTCAGAGTGGGCTTGCTTTCTTTGTCAGAGCCTGTGCACCAGAGACCTGTGATGCAGGTCACCTTGATCATGGCTCTTTGAGCCCAAAGAAAGGCTTGGTCTCGGGGCTCCGTTAAAGGGACTGTTGTTGTCAAGGGCCGTCGAGTTGCTTGTGCAAACTAGAATAAGGCAGGCATACCTGGGAGACAGTTTTCGTGAAAGAAGACAAGAAAAGAAGGAGGCAGGGCTTCTATTTAGTTCTATTGATTGGACCTTCAGAAACAAGCAGATTGCTTTCTAGCTGAGGTCACCTAGACACGAAGTCACTGGGAGTACTAAAGGGAAGGGAGATGTGACTGAGGGTCAGAAGCCCAGGACCAAGTGAAAGCACCTGGGGCTGGCCTGTCGAAGACAAAGTTAGAGGGAAAAGATATTTGAACCTTTGCTGATTTCTGACCTTGTGCCTTCCTGCTCCACCAATTCTGAGAAACCATTTCAAAAACTACCATTATTCATTAAAAAAGAATTCATTTGGGAAGATGGTGCCGAAAGTGAAGAATGAAGTGCCTGCTTCTCCCAAAATTGAAGGCAAAGCAAAGGCATTAAAGGCCAGGGAGACAGTCCTGAAGGGCCACAGCCATTTAAAAAAAGAAAAAAAGATCTGCACGTCACCCACATCACCCACCTTCCAGTGGCTTAAGATGCTAGGACTCTGAAGGCAGCCCACATACCCCCAGCAGAGCACCCCCAGGAGAAAAAAGCTTGACTACTGAGTCAGCAATGAAGAAGATAGCAGCACTCGGGTGTTCTTTGTGGATGTCAAGGCCAACAAGCACCAAATCAGACAAACTGAAAAGAAGCTCTATAATGTTGATGTGGCTCAACACCTTGATTAGGCATGTAGGAGAGGAGAAGGCCTGTGCTTGACTTGCTTCTGACTATGATGCTTTGGATATTGCCAACAAAATTGGGATCATCTAAACTGAGTCCAGCGGGCTAATTCTAAATACAGATTTTTTTCACCCCCCCCCAAAAAAAAAAAACTTGTTCAGAAATTGAGTTTATACTGTGCTGCCAACTGTGCATTTAGTGCTATAAATCATTACAAGATGGTTAAGTGGTTGACTTTCCCACTATGGAGACCCACAAATACAGTTCTGAAATGATGTACCAGGCAGATAATATAGGCAGGCAACATACCCCTGCAGAGCGCCCCCAGGAGAAACACGCTTGACCACTTAAGGGACATGTCCTAGGCTGGATTCTCTATAGAAGCAAAACCAATGGAGCTTCCTTTATCTGTATGTACATGAATGTAAATATATATGTGTGTCTCTGGAGACCAAGGTGCATCTGATACAGGCCATGGTCTTTGCAATCACTTGTTATGCATCCGAGAGTTGGACAATGACCAAGGAGGATAGAAGGTGAATTGATGCCTTTGAGCTGTGGTGCTGGAGAACAATATTGAGAGTACCATGGACTCCTAGGAAAACAAACAGATTCATCCTGGAAAGGGTTACACCGGGTGGCTCCTTGGAGGCAAGGTTTCTGAGGCTCAGTCTAACATACTTTGGACATGTTGTGGGGAGAGACCGGTCCTTGGAGAAGGACATCATGCTTGTTAGGGTGGAGGGACAGCACAGGAGGGGAAGGCCCTCTATGAGGTGGATTGATTCAGTGACTGGTATAATCGGGATGGGAGTGTCAGAGGACAGAGCAGAGTTTAGGGCTGTTGTACATAGGCCGCAAACAACTCGATGGCACATAACAACAACATGCATGTATTGAGAGAGATACTTATTTCAAGAAAATAATTCACATGCTTATAGAAGCTAGTAAGTCCTAAGTCTGGATTTGAACTCAGGAGAGAGGTAACTGGGAAGGTGATTGAGTCCAAGTTATCAGCAGGCCGACTGTAGAGACTGTTGATGAATCCAAAAGACATCAAGGAGCCCAATTGCAGGGTGCTGGCTTCAGAGACTATAGAGTCAAGTGCTCAGAGTTCATGAGCTGGGTGCAGGGGGGACAAAAAGCTCACTAACTTTGCCAGAGAGCCCATACACATATTCAATGCAGGGCACACACCTCAAGGAAATTTCCCCTTTATCAAGCCAGGTATCTTTACAGAACTTCCCCTAATCCTGTCTCACTAATGAAGATTAGAACTTAAAATAGATAATATAGTTAAATTATACTTAGCGTCATAACCTTGTTGACATAAAGTATTAATTATCATAGATAAGAAGGCATAGGGAAGACTTCCCAGAGAAGGCAGCCCTGGATCTGGGTTGGATAGAACTAGTTAGTTCTGCTCTTTTCTGTGTTAAAACATTATATACAACATGTAAAGGAATGGACATGGCTATGTTCCAGTAACATCTTGTGTATGAGACCCAACAACAATATAATATTTCATGAAGAATGACAATAAAACTGCTTTTATTTCATTTCCTTTAGCTTATTAGTTATTCTGCTATTCTCAAATTGTTCTCTAGGCAAGTTTATCACTGTTGGATGGGGCAAAAAGGAGACTCAGTTCCATGGATCAGAAGGCAGGCAAGCTGCTTTCCAGCTGCACTTGGTAAGGTTGGTTTAAGAGATAAAGACCCTCAATTAGCACAAGTGAGCTTTCTATCAGGAAATGAAAATGTCCAATTAGAGGCCAAGAATGGAGAACTTACTTCTGCTTTATAGCCCTATGACAGGAGAAGACATCCTAGAAAGGATTCCTTAATAATCATTCATTGCCCAATTTTAAAACATGAAGCAAGCAAAGCAGATAGAAATGGGATACCATGTGTACTGTTTCCAGTACCTTCTAGTAACCTTGGGTTGGCAGCGCAGTTACTTACCTCTAGACCATCAAACTTCCCTACTGTCCTACATTTATTGGTGGCCATTCATATGCCTGTGGTGGCTTAGTAGTAAGGAATTACACTGCTAGCCCAGTGGCTGTGGTTCAAATCCTCCAGCTGTTCCATGGAAGAAAAATGGACAGTCTTTCCATATGATTTACTGCCTCTGAAAACTTGCTGGAGGGTCGGCTATGAGTCGTTTCTGACATGATGGCGCATAACAGCAACGGCTTTGACATATGTCATACTAGATATTTTTATTATTTTTTCTGTTGCATTAAACTCTTTGTTTTCCTTTATTATGAGTCATTAAAAATGTAACTATTATCACTAATCAGTGTCTTGCAAGGCTTGTTCTCGTGGAAGCAGCCTCAGGGGTCTCCTCCTCCTCCTCTCCCTCATTGCCGGACAGTTGATTCTGAGTCAGAGGGACCCTTGATCAGGTTTCTCAAGCTGTAAATTTTTGCAGAAAGAAACTCTCCATTTGTTTCCCTTAGAGGGTTGATTGAGCATAACTGCTGCCTTTTAGTTGATTTATTACATACAGCATCTGTTACTATGTTAAAATGTCTTTAAGGTATTATATGTTAGCATAATTTATACATTATGAACATTACAAAAATTAATATATAAAAACATCATCATTGAACAAAATTATTTCCTAGGAAGATGTGCCGTTTATTGCCTGGCATTAGGGATAACATATTTCTGTTAGGAAAAAAAATAGTTTGCATCACATTATCATGACAATAGCCATGACACTGTTGGAACCTCAGTGTTTTTACATGTAAGGTGGACACAATAATGGCTTCCTTGCACAGTTTGATTTGGAGGTAATACTGGATCAACCTTAATATTCTGAACACTGCTCTGGCCCATTTGAAACATTAAAGGGTAGGCAGAAAATTGAATTAAATATCCCCAGACATAACTTTACTTTTAGGGTAAAGTGGGAAATTGTCACGTCTAAGATAACTTTTATATATCCCTTTAGTTCTTACGTGATTTTTTTGCAGGAGTGGAGAGGGGGAAGAAATGGAACCTGACCAAACAAATAGAGTTTCTGCACATTTGAATGCATTTTTTTCTTTTTTTGTGCCAAGTCCGTTCTGTCTGATTGCAGCCTGTTGTGTGTTGACCTCTAAGCTACAAGTAAATGTGTTTAAACTTTCTAATGCAAATGGTCTAAACCACACTACTCTACTGATGCTTATTTCAACCTGGAAGAATCTCAGAAACAGTAAGCAAAGTAAAAGAAGCCAGTCATAAAAGAACACAGTCGATTATATGTTTTCATTTATGTGACATGCCCAGAATAGGCCAATCTATAAGAACTCTGGTCCAAAGCGGATTTTGCTACTACCTCAGAGGCCTTGCCTCTCTAACCATTTGAATCCACCAGCAGCTCCTCAGAAAAAAAAGATGGACAATCGTTTCCTTGGCAATATATAGCCAGGAAATCCATGGGAGGGTCGGCAATAAGTCGGTTTGAACTCAGCATCAGTGAGTGAATGCTAAAGACACAGTGTAGAAGAGTGGTTGCCTGGGACTAGAGGAATGAATAGGGGAGTGGGGCAGTGGATAGTCACTGCTAATGGATAGAGGGTTTCCTTTGGAGAAAATGTTTGACATTTAGGTTATGGTGTTGGTTACATAACTCACACAATTTGAGTGAGTTAGTCAAATGCAAGTACTCATGTCAAAGTTTTGATTTTTAACTTGTTTGAACTGGAACAACA